CAGTCTCTAGCGGAAAGACTCGACAACCTTCCCCACCACTGCAAGTCAAATTGCGAAGCTCTGTTGAACCGGGATAAAACTTATTTTTCAGTGTTATCATAGATAAGAAGGTTAGGTGTGTTATTCCTTGTGTTGACGAGAGAGCTTGAAATCTGAAGTGCATTCGTTGTTTTATTATTTATGGTGAATATTGCAAAGGTAAGTTTGTAAAAATTACGTATGATGTTGTTTATAAGTTGCTTAGTACCCCCGTTAAGTTATACAGGCAATTTTCGCCAACAGTTTTCTGAAATAGCTTAAGTTGTGAGGCGGTTTTCTTACGCATTTTAACGTTTGTTTGCGCGGGAAAATGTAACTAATTATTCGCGGTGTATTTACTCTAATTTTATTTGGATTTTTATCATAGATATAATAAATATGTGAACTATAAATATTAAATAATAAATATTATGAAGATTTTCTAACATCCAGGGTATCACGAACTTACCTGTGTCTTTTTTTTTTAGAATTCAAAATGCCTAAAATATGCAAAGGAAAATATCGCCAATATGAGATCTCCGATTTATTAGAAGCCTCAAGACTTGTAAGAGTAGAGAAACTATCCATCTACAAGGCAAGTAAACAAAGTGGAATAGCCTGGAGTACACTGAAAGATTTTTTAAGTAGAAATGAAGATGACAATCACCAAGTTGCCAAACTAGGAAGGCCGTTTGCTCTTACTGCAGAAGTTGAAATTCAGTTGTTTAATTACATTATAAAAATGCAAGAATTGGGTTTTGGTTTGACGGTGCAGATGATAAGAAAGATAGCCTTTCAACTTGCACAACGTACGGAGAGAGATCACTTCTTCAATAAAGAAAACGAGTCTGCTAGTAAATGGTGGTGGGCTCAGTATAAAAAGCGATTTAATCTAACACTGCGTGTTCCTGAAAATTTGGCTGCATACAGGGCTTCAATGTCAAATAATGAAATACTGGGGGATTTTTATACAAAATTAGAAACATTAATGGTTAGACTTGGAGTTCAGAATAATTCCGATCGTCTCTGGAATTGCGATGAAACTGGACTATCTTATGTGGTCAAACCAAGTAAAGTCGTTACCTCGGTTGGAAAACGTTATGTCTACAAAAGAGCATATGCAGATAGAGGCGAATCTCAAACCATGATGGGATGTATTTGTGAAAATGGAACATGGATTACACCGTTGATAATTTTCAAAGGGGTTCGATGGAACGATAATTTAAAGAAAGATTGCCTACCAAATACACAAGTAAAACTTTCTCCAAAAGGATGGATCAACAGTGAGATCTTTTTGGAGTGGTTTCAATTTTTTATTGCCTCAATTCCCTCTGCCCGACCAGTAATTTTATTAATGGATTCCCATGCATCACACATCAATCCGGAAGTTATATCTCTTGCGTCTCACAATGGTGTTTATTTATTTACATTTCCAGCCCACACTAGCCATCTGTTACAGCCACTTGATGTAGGTGTTTATAAGTCATTAAAGGCTCATTGGGCCAAAAGCTTAAATGTTTATATGAAAGTTAATGCAGAGAAGCCCAATAGAACCAATTTTCACACCATTCTAAATCCGGCATACATTTCAAGTTTTTCCGCATCAAACATTACAAATGCGTTCAGAAAATCTGGGATATGTCCCTTTGATAGCAATGCCATTCCTAAGGAAGCTTTTGCACCTTCTCTACTCACTTCTAATGAGATACCTAATCAACGTGCAGAAGCTCCTACGCAACAAAATCCATTTAGCAACATATTGTCTCTTCCAACAAAGCCAGCTGCTGCAAATTAGAATAGAAAGAAGCGCGATTCAAGAGCAAAGTGCCTTAATTCTGAAAGTGGTGTGCCTTTTTCAATAAGCGATACAGCATCTACGTCATCACCATGTGTATTAGGCCTCAATCCTGAAAGTGTTATTCCTTCTTCACCAATTCATGCACCATCTACGTCATCATCCTGTGTTCTAGCCCCAACCAATAAAAAAGCGGTTTCTGAAGATAATGACTGGGATTGCGGAATGTGTGGTAATAGTTATTCACTAGATGTCAAAAGAAAAAATGGTGCCAAGTGGGTCCAGTGTTCCTACTGCCTGATTCCATACCATGTTATGTGCCAATCGTCTGATGCCGAAGAGGATGTTTTTATGTGCGACATGTGTGAAAACAATGAAGACACTATTAATGATTCTGAAGAAGATTAAGTTATTTGTCTACCACCTGTTTTTGTTTTTAATTAATTTAGTTTTGTTTTATTTTTTCAAAATATGGATTTACTTTTCTTGTAAAGAATTTTAATTTTGTTTTTATTTGTTAAGAAATTACCTAATTTTACCTAATAAATGAATTTTTATTATTAAAAAAATTTTATGCACACAAATTGGATTGTCACGAATTTACCTTACCTCTATCACGAAATTGAATATCCATGTCACGAAATTACCTTACCTGAACAAAATTTTAAAAAATACATAAATTATTAAACTTTACAATATTTTACACAAAATAGTAACTTGCAGTTGTTACTGAATGATAAGTCTCCTTTTTGGTAATATTTTTACGGTATAAAATTAAAACCTTTAACCGCATTAATTAAATAACCTATAATTATCACGAATATACCTTACTTCACCCTATAGTGATTTTGAACAGGTATTATAATAAACTTAAGTACTAACAATTTATGCAAAATAAAGCAAAATTATATCTAGTTATAAAATATTGCCCAATAAATCGGGAAAAAATAAGAATAAGATATATGTATATAAATACCACATTGCGTAAAATCACACAATGCCAAAAACTGTAACGGATAATTCCAATATAAGCAAACTACAAGTAACAATACCCTAGTTGCAGAGGTTGTCAGGTAGCTAAGACTCTACAGAAATATAGGGTACTAGCTACAATGAAGAAAACTCCATTAGACAAAATAAAGAGTGCTAAGCAACAACTAAAACGAACTACTGCTAAACCATCTACTAAAATTGAATACGAAATCTGCTATTCTTACCTTTAAAATGCATCCTGATTGTTGTCGATAGGACTGACTCTTGGATCAAAAGATATCGCATTTTTACCGTCAAGCTGATACAAATTTTATTGAACAATGATTTTGCGCGAGTAACTTATTTAAAATCGACGGTCGTTTTAAACGTTGTTTGTAAGAGAACGGTTCTTTCTACACAAAAAGTAACCTTAAACGTTTTTATTTAAAATTATCTCCCGCTACATTTTTTATTTGAAACATTTTTTTTACAGCGTACAGATTCTTAGTAAATCGATTTTTTGCATTTTTGTCACCCTACAAGGGGGTTTTAGAGTGGAAGGGGGTAAAAGTGGTAAACTTTTTTGCAACTTTTGGGGTCCCAAAATTAACATTCTTGACAAAATTCAGCTTGTTTGTATGATTGTTACGCATCAACTCTCTGACGACTATACTGTAAATAGTATTCATATATTTATTCTTCTTCTTCTTCTTCTTTGTCTAGCCATTCACATCCACATCTGAACATAAGCCTCTTCAAGCCTTCCTTTCCATTGTTTTTTATGGTACGCTTCTTCTTCTCGTGCCACTCCTAGCGGAGATTGGAAATCATCATGGCCACTGCGACTTTGTTAGCAGCGCGCCTAAAAAGTTCAATCGAACTACACCGAACCATTCACGTAGATTACGAAGCCACGATATTTTTCTTCTTCCCACACTTCTTTTGCCCTTAATTTTGCCCTGCATGATGTTTCTTAAAATTCGTACTTTTCACCTCTCACAATGCGCCCCAAGTATTCCATCTTTCTAGTTTTTATCTCATTTAGAATTTCGCATCTTTTGTCTAAAGTTTGGAGTACTTGCGTGTTAGTGATTGTATTGTACGCTATTTGTAGCTAATTTTTCCCGGCAGTCCTTTTCAGATCATCTGTCCATCTCATAGGAGGTCTGACTCTGGGTCTTTTGTGTTGGTATGGTCTCCAGGTTAAAATTGATCTGTGCCATTTGTTTAGATCGCTCCTAGCTACATGTCCAGTGTATTCCCATTTCAACTTTAATGATTTTTGCACCACATCGGTGACTTTGGTTACTAGTGTTATACTTATGTGATTGATTTCTTGTCTTAAGTGATATCCTAATTGCTCTTTCCATCGCGTGTTGAGTGACTCTAAGTATATTCATATTCTTTTTTGTGATTGTCCATGTTTGTGCCGCATAAGTTAATATCGGAATAATGCATGCATCAAAAACTTTAGATCTAAGATGTAATTGAATTTGTTGATTTCTGTATATATAGTTCAGTTTACCAAATGCTGCCCAAGCTAACTTTCTTCTTCTTTTTGTTTCTTCAGTCTGAATTTCTCTATTTAGGATTAGTTTTTGTCCCAAGTATATATTATATTCTTCAACTTTTTCTATAACTTTATCGTTTATTATTGTCACGGTGTCTTCGGGGTGCATGACTTTTGTTTTGTTTAAATTCATTTTCAGTTCTATTTTAGAAGATTCGGTATGTAGTTCTACAAGCATGGTTTGCATTTCTTGTAGGTCAGTAGCTATCAGGATTATGTCATCTGCAAATCGTAGATTACTGAGGTAGCGGCCATTGATGTTTATTCCCTTATATTTCCAATTTAGGTTTTTAAAAACGTCCTCCAAAACTAAGGTGAACAGTTTGGGTGATAAAGTATCTCCCTGTTTGACTCCCCTTTTTAATTGTACAGGGTTCGTGTGTTCATTTTCATTTAGGTAGTATGTAGCTGTAGCTTGGTTCATAGTTTCTTTTATTAAGTTAATATATCTGCTGTCTATTCTACAATTTTGCATTGCGTTTATTATGGCCGTGTGTTCTATGGTATCGAAAGCTTTTTCGTAGTCTACAAATGCTAGGAAAACTGAAAAAATATTTATTCTACGGACCATAAAATAAAATTATAAATATAATAAAACATTTTTCATTTTTTTTTTCAGGAAAACCAATCGCCCAAGACAACCGCATGGAAGTAACAGCCGAACCGCCCCGTCTGACGTTAAAGGCTCTCACTAAAGAAGACAGAGGCATGTTCCAATGTATCGTGAGCAATAACTGGGACCAAGCTCAAGCCATCGCCGAACTCGACATGGGCGATGCCGGTCCTGAACTGATGTACTGGTTTTCGGAACAAACACTTCAACCGGGGCCGACGGTTTCTTTGAAGTGTGTCGCAACAGGAAATCCTCCGCCACAGTTTACTTGGACTCTGGACGGATTTCCCATTCCCGACCATCCCAGGTTTTTAGTAGGTGAGCTGAAGTTGACGTTTAATTTTGTAACGAATTTTGCAGATGTTTTTCTTTTATCGCTTGTTCGGTTTATACTAAAAATTTTGTATCTAACTATAGTGTATTTTTATGTATGAGAGAGTAATAAAACAATAAATTATGTATGCAAATCCCTAAACTGTTGATACGGGTGACTCAATGAAAAACAGATATTCGTCAACAAGTTTACAGAAGTATATAGGAAAACAATTTTAAATTGAGTATGACCCCAGGTATAAAGGTTGGAGCAGAATAGAATACAATAGTTGTGAGGGTTACTAATCCCTAAATAAGGTTGCCAGTGTCGGAGTGATGGAGGTTAACAGGGTACTAATGAATTTGCAAGAAATGTAAGATGTTTATTTTATTGGTTATATATAACCAATAAAAGTTTAATAAGTACCTACCTATTTGCAAAATAAAGTTTAATTCTTTAGATAAAATAAAACGTTTTATTTTATCTGAAATGGGTGCATTCCACGAAGTAAGCGTTTCAACAATCAAACATTTAATTCTTTAATTCCAGGAATCTACGACAGTAATTGACTAGATAATTACCTTCAAAACTTATTCCACAGAAAATGTGATAGTGGGTTTTTCCATTTTGTAGGAAGGTCCAAGTGGCGTATTCAAATTCTTAACAGTTCACTAAAAGTAGGTACTTCAGGTGCAAGGTGCAGTTTATTGTGTATACTAGTGTTATGGAAGATTTGGAAGTGCCGTGTAAACGCCGAAAATTGGTCCTTTAACAGTTAATGAAAAAACATTAATATTTAATTGTTTTAAATCATTTACAGACAAACGTTTATGTGAAAGTGTTGATGAGACCGTTGAGTTAGTTAGCAGTACACTTGGTGTGGGAAATCTACGATTTACAGAGTTATTAAAGAAGAGAAATGTGGTAGTTTTCAAATGCCACGTAATGCTCCAGGGAAACCAAAATTTCAAATAGAATATCATTTTAAAGAAGGACTTCGACGGAAAGTGCATGAATTCTTCTTTAGACAAGAATTTCCAACATTGGATAAAGTTCTTGTCTCAGTTCGAGATGATAAGGATTACCCAGAAATGAGTCGAAGTACGTTATGGAAACTTTTAAAAGAAATAGGCTTCCGCTGGAAAAAGAATCCCAGAAAGTCTATTTTATTAGAAAGAAGCGATATTGTCATATGGAGAAGACATTTTCTAAGAACCATAAAGGAAATGAGAAACCAAAAAAGAAAAATATTTTATCTTGATGAAACATGGATCAACGAGGGTCATATACCAAATAAATTTTGGCAGGATGAAACTGTTACAAGTCAAAGGCACGCTTTTGTAAATAACTTATCTACTGGTTTAAACCCACCATCAGGAAAGGGACGCAGGTCTGATAATAGTACACATTGGCAGTTCAGACGGTTTTGTTGAAAGTGGTTTATTAACTTTTGAATCAACTCGTACCGGTGACTACCATGAAGACATGAACGCTGATGTCTTTCAAGAATGGTTCGAACAAATGATAGATCTTCTTCCTAAGAACTGTGTAATAGTAATGGATAATGCAAGTTATAAAAAGACTTATTACGTACCATCCCGGATCTATAAAGAAAGGAACTTTATTCGTTGTGTGCCCTTCATAAAGAAAAATTTAAAAAATACGAAATTGATGAAATTGCCAAAAATCGTGTAATGACAGTACTTAGATCCCCACCATATCATTGTGAATTAAACCCGATTGAACTGGTATGGGCACAGATAAAGAGTAAAGTTACAAGAAAAAAATACCACTTTTAAAATTCATGATGTTAAACAGTTGTTTTTGGAGGCCGTAAATAATGTAAAACCTGAAAACTGGGAAAAGGCAGTAAATCACACTATTAAAGAAGAGGAAAAATGTGGAAGCTGGACAATTTTACTGATAAAATGATCGAGCCACTTATTATAAATCTTGGTTCTGAAAGTTCATCTTCTGAATCTGATTTGGATTTGTAACAAGTAGCTGTAAGTTTTATATTAATATTTTTATTCATCTATTTAACATACCTTAGACGGTTTTAAAAACTCTTTTTCTCTTTTGTAATTTTTAAAAATTAAAAAAAATGTGAATTTTTTTAATGTAGGCCAGTCAGTTCTAATATAGTGTGTGATAAAGAGGTCACTTTTGTTTACATACACATAACACTTTATAACACTGAAATAATTCATTTATTTTTTACAATTATTCAAAGTAATTTTTCAATTAATCTTGAGCACGCCCATGGAGTGGTCGGAGGTACCAGTTAAAATTATGCTAATTACTCTCTCGTTCATAAAAATAAACTATAGAACCCCAACTGAGGTTTAAAATGTGTTTTTATAACATAATGTGAATCTCTATTAAAATTGTAACGGAAAAGCTATAGATTTCTGGGTTTGTCGGTCTATTGTAAATAAAAATACTTATTTTGAAAAATTAAATTATACAATTATATTTCATGTTTACAGTCTGTAGAAGTTTAACATGGATTAAAAAATTGGTATCTGACATTGACAAATGACATTTGGCAGCTATCTTAAAACACGAGTGGTTCAGGATCGTATCTTAAATATCCGCCAGGGTGCATTTATAAACAACTCAATTTAATAAACTATTATATATATTGGAAAGATCTTTGATGTCAGGTCTTTTTATGTGAATCATCTAAAATATGCATCTTTAATTTTGTTCTTATTTCAAAATCTGTACATTTTCAATATCAAAGGAATGGTTATTTTCTAGAGAATATTTGGCTAGAGCGTTGTGTTTAATCTGTTGGTTTGTACACTGTGTGCAACAACACTTTTATGCAGGTATTGGTATGTTTGCCCAATGTTGAATTAAAGTCTTAACAATTTATTTTATGAATAACATTTGATTGATGATCTTTATTAACCTTGGGTTTAAATTAAAAAAAAAACACGTCGACATTGGTTCATAAAATCCATTAATGTATGCTAAAGATATATAATATTTGTTCGATTTAGTAGCATTATTATTATTGCTATAGGTATGGTTTGGGTTTACTTTGGATTGATATTAAAATTAGATTGATTTCTAATAATACAACTTCTTCTTTTAATTAGATGATTGTAAAATTCTGGTAAATAATTATTTTTTTCTAAGATATCTTTAACTTTTCTCAGATTTGCGGAATGGTATTGTGGGTGTGGGCTAGATAGCTTAATACCTTCTGTCAGTAAGACTAAATGTAACACTTCTTTTATTGGTTATGGGTGTGTTGGTATTAAAATTTAGATACCTTCCAAACAAACATCCCTTGTAAAACACTTAGTTGTTATCATTCGGTTAATGTTCTTATACTTTACCTTAAATAACTTAACTTAAATCAAGAAAAGTAATTTTATTGTTTTCCTGTAGTTCATAAGTAAATTAAATAATATCTGGAATGCACAGTAAGCTGTCATCAACATATTGTTTCTAGAAATGTATGTTGTACTTTAATTTAGAGATGGCTGTTGTTTCTAATATTTCCATTATTACCTTTACCATTATCGCTATAAAAAACTTTCTAAATCGATGCTTTTGCTGAACTGCATATAAATCAGACCCTCTTTGTATATATTATTTACACAATATTTGAAGCGCCAATTTTACTCGTCCGTAAATCTAATTTTAAATATCATAAATAAAGTCAGTTATCAGAATCTCTTTCCCTCAGTTAGGATAATATCGAGGTTCTGAGTTAATAGAGCCATATTTTGCCTTAATTATCACAAAAACAATAATTAAATACTTACCGATACAGCAAAGCATTGCTTAAACTGCTTTTAAAAAATATTCTAATAAAAATGTAAAAATCAACTGTATTCAAATAAAATAAAAACATTTTACTATAACTTGAACATCGAACAACAACTTAGAAAATATACTAAGAATCACAAGAGCGAAAAGAAAAAGCACAGAACAGGTATATAGAAACTTACAAGTGATTAACCAAAAACTTACATCGGTCAAACTGGTAGAACATTTGACAAACATATACCAGGACACACTAGCCAATAAAAGATATACTACCCACCAACCAATTGTAAAAAGTGCTACAGGTGAAGATATTACAGCGCCACAGGAACAATTCAAAAGATGGCATGAATATTTTAGCGAATCTCTAAGTGCAGTCCCAACACCACCAGAAGACGCAGAAAACCTAATACCCAATATCCAACTGAGAATTAACACCAACGAACCTACAACGCAGGAAATAGAAATGGCCATAGAAAAACTGAAAGCACACAAAGAAGCCGGCCCTGACAATATTCCACCAGAGTTGTTAAAAGCTTGCCCAGGTACAGTGGCAGAGCTAATCCAACCACTCTTGAAAAGGGCTTGGAGAGAGGAAAAGTTCCCCAAAGAATGGAAACAGGGATTAATAATAAAGATACCAAAAAAGGGTGACAGAAGATATTGCGAAAACTGGAGAGGAATCACACTTCTGAATACTATAAATAAATTAACAGCAATAATTATAAACAACCGACTAATAAACAGTGTAGAACCAATGTTGAGGAAGGAACAAGCCGGTTTCAGACCAAACAGATCATGCGTGGACCAAATTAACACACTAAGAATAATTGTAGAACAGTCACAGGAATTCAACTCTTCTCTCTTTGTGTGCTTTGTGGACTTCAAGAGAGCTTTTGACACGCTCACACATACGGCCATATGGAAAGCACTGCAGGAAATAGGAATACCAGAAAAAATAGTAAATCTCATCAAAGAACTCTACAGTGACACAGAAAGCAAAATCCTACACAACGGCATAAAATCTGACCCAATAGCTATGCTAAACGGAGTAAAGCAGGGCTGTGTTTTATCCCCCATACTATTTAACATTGTACTGGACTCCGTACTAACAAAGGTAAACTCTAATAGAGGAATTTACTGGGGATTAACAAACAGACTGGAAGACCCAGATTACGCTGATGATATATGCCTCCTAGCACATACAAAACAGGACATGCAACTCCAAGTAAACAAAGTACAAGAAGAATCAAAGAAGGTTGGTCTAGAAATAAACATCAACAAAACCAAAGAAATGCGATTTGGTACCAGAAACAACCAACCTATTATGATCAACGACCAGGAAATTGAGAGAGTAGCGGAAATAGTATATCTGGGCAGCATAATTGACTGTAATGGGGGTACAGAGCGTGATGTACATGAAAGAATAAATAAGGCTCGCAACGCCTACAACATGCTTAACAACATATGGAAATCCAGGATTTACCCAACTAAAACGAAATTAAAAATCTTCAACACAAATGTAAAAGCTGTATTACTGTATGGCTGCGAAACGTGGAAGATATCAGCACCCATAGTACACCAATTACAAGTTTTCATCAATAAAGCGTTACGAAAAATCCTTCGTATATTTTGGCCTAACCGAATCTCCAATGAAAATTTATGGAACCAAAGCAACCAAGAAAATGTCATAAAGCAAATAAGGCGAAGAAAATGGAGATGGCTGGGCCACACACTCCGTAGACCGCCAAATGACATTGCCAGGACAGCGCTGGATTGGAATCCCCAAGGCAGACGGAAAGTAGGCAGACCTAAGGGAACTTGGAGAAGGACAGTACTGGACGAAGGGAGAAAAATGGAAAATCCTGGCTTGAAATCAAAGCACTAGCCAGAAATAGAGTTCGCTGGAGACACTTTGTGAAAGCCCTATGTTCCTCTTAGGAATCTTGGGACTATATATATACCAGGACACAAAAAGTTTTAAATAATATGTTTTTATTTTTCCAATTCTATTCGTGTTTTCAGTTGTGTCTTCATAGATAAATCAATCCTATTTTGAGGAGGTTACTGTTTATCCTATGTTGAAAGAAAATAAAAAGCTTAAATGAAAATCTTCTAAATTTGAAAGAATACATTATAAAACCACTAATCATAGAGTGTAGGAAAGTAGCAAACAAAAGTTTATGTAGATGATAGTAGATCTCATAGCTGCCGTTCATGAATATTCATTGTGGATATTTCAAAAATTCGCTTGAAATAAAATCCTTTTACTTTAATATTTCAGGCCAATATGTAACTATCCAGGACGACGTGATCAGCCACGTCAACATCACCAACATTAAAGCCGAGGATGGAGGAGAATATACATGTACAGCTCACAATACAGTTGGGAAAATCTCTCATAGCGCCCGGGTAAACGTGTATGGTCTGCCTTATATCAGAGACATGCATAAAATCACCGGAGTTGCCGGCATGAGTTTAATTATAAAGGTAAGTGGTAATTAATAATATACTGTAATGGGCCTGTCAAAGGGTAACATGGTATTAATATTGATTATACTAAAACTATGCATTAACTATGTTCTAAATTTCTAAATGTAATATATATATATATATATATATATATATAATATATATATATATATATATATATATATATATATATATATATATATATATATAGAAAAGGAAAAGAAGTCTTTGCTGACAACGTTAGAAAACGGAGCTTTGAGGTTTATTGGGATTTATTCAGCGGTGAAATAAGTGTACTCTTTTAACTAAGTTTCAAGCTTTCGAAAATGTTTATTTTCATCATCAGGAAAAACTGAAAATAAAGTGCGACTGTTAGTAAATCATCCTCGAAATTAGTTGTAGAAATTGGTTTTTTTAAAAAACGATAAAAACTTACGTTATTGAGGTTCGTCTTTCGTGGATGTTTCACTTACAGGTGACAATATTACGCACCACTCATTGATTGAGTCAACTTTTAAAATATTTAACACATATAAAAATTTCATGGTGTATAAGACCAAACTTAATAAATTATTATACTTTAACACATAAGAAAAAGACAGTTAAAAAAGTTTACAACGGCCACGTGTGCCGGCCAACTGTTGAATGAAAGGTTAAGAGTAACTGTCATTCCTGGACATGGCAAATGACAGTACTTCTTCTTATTTCTTTGTCTTATGTAGTACTACTATTGTTACACATCAAATTATTGACAAAGGTTGAATTGGAAAAAAAAACACAGAATTTAATAAAGAAACTGTGAAAAATATAACGAAACCTGGAAACTTTACAATGAATCAGTCATTGAAACATCATTGAAATGTGATGATCCATCCAAATATAATAGGTAGGAGTATATAGTGCTCAATTGATTAATGTCACTCCTTTTGTTCATTGCATTTGAGTTTTGTGCAATGAATGCCATTTCTAAAAAGAGTCTTTTATTGTAATTGGACTCCGTAGCTAAAATTTTAACTGAATCGTAATTCATAATATGATGTTCTTTATTTACATGTTCTGCCAGTGCAGATCTTTCTGGGTATAGTCTACTGTCGCTACGATGACTGATTAGGCGACTGCCTAGGTTGCGTGTGGTTTGTCCCACATATATTAAATTGCAGTTGTTGCAAGGGATTTGGTAGACAACGTTGGAACAATCTTTGATGTTACTTTTATCTTTAACCTTAGAATATATGGATCTTACCGTTAATGATGTTTTATAAGCTATTTTCAAATTGGTGACATCTTTAAAAAGTCTTGTTAGTCTGGGTGTTATGCTTTTGATGTATTTCAGTGAGGTATATGAGCAATTGGTATTATGTTCTCCATTTGTGGCATTGATTAGTATCTCATCATTTCGGCGTGTTATGTTAGGGGTCAAACTAAATAGAATTTTGGTGACTAAGGGTTTTGGATATGAATTGTCCATGAAAAGGTTGAACAGGATTCTTAGGTTCTTCTGGTGGAAAGAAGGGTCACTGATGGAAATGATTCTAGCCTTCATTTGTTTAAGTAGGTTGATTTTGATTGAATGTCTATGGTATGACCAATAGTTGAGGAAGCGTCCAGAACTATGAGGTTTTCTATGTATATATGTATATATATATATATGTATATATATATATGTATATATATATATATATATATATATATATATATATATATATTGTTATGATATGTAAAATCAAGAAGATATCGGTTTGTTTAAAAATATTTCAAAGTTCAAATAATTAAAATAATTCAGATAAGTCGAATAATAAACGACAAACATTTCGAAGAATGAAAGTCCCTTTATCTTTGGATTACCTATATTGAACAAAACGTAAGCTATGCATAAATTATATTCGTTGTTAAAATATATTTGAGTGACGTGGAGCGAACTTAAGACAATTGAACCGGGTTTTCCAAATACATTAGTGCAGTGATTAGGACAATAGAATAGATTTTAGAAAGATAGGTTTTTGTTAGTTTTTAAGAATTGGTAGAAAAATATTAGTTTTTAAATAATGTTCGGAAATTTTATAATTGTAGGTAAAAATTTGTTTGTGATCGAAATGAAGAAATGGGAGATGTATGACGCGTTTTGATGATGAGATTGGTGGTTTGAGAATGAGACGTTAGTTAGTTTTGGAAGAAAAAAAAGAGTCAGTTGGTTTCCAAGGGTGCAAGGCGAACGGCCGTTGTTCTCGGGTAGTTTCCCAGAGGTAGGAAAGCAGTAGCAGTGAAAGTTTGTGAGTTTTCGTGTAGTTAGTGTATCTGACAGAAGCTGATCCAGTAAAAGATTGTAAGTTATATTTTCTACTTATATTCCAAGAGTCACTGTTCAGGCCAACGACAGATTCAGTTTATCGTAAAGAAAAGATATTCCAAGAGTCATTTTTCACTCAGGCCAACGAGAGATTCAGTTTATTGAGAGAAGAAGAAGCTAGCAAAATTTGAACGATTCGTGAATTTGAAGGAGATCATTAAGGACGATAAACTTGCAATAATTTGTTGTAAGATTGCTGATGACCTAGGGAGCTGCTAAGAATAGATAGTGTAGACTACAAAGAACAAGGATTTGGACCACTCATCATCATAGAGAGATAGTTTTGTTTTTCTGCAGTTTTTCTTTCATTGATAACACAATTTTTACAATTACTTTGGAAAAGATATAAATATTTTGATTAGGAGATTTAGAATAATAATTGGGATTTTGAGATTTTATTACTAATATTGTTTGTACCATTAATTTTGAAGGTTCACGTACGTAGAACAAAATTTTAAGAATCATTATATGAGATATTGTTTATTGAAAACATTTGAGTGTGAATTTTATTTCATTATTTTGATTTCAATATATAATGTTAGATCCTATATGTTTTTTATTATTCCGGTATTCTTTGGACCTTACCTTTCACATGTAATAGCATAGATATTGAAGCACGAATAGAACCCTGAGATAAGAGAATTAAAAAGTGTGATAGAATCATAGTCATATCATTTAAATAATTTTAATTAATTAATTAATTAATTAATTAGCTAATTAATTGCTTGGCGCACCAAGACTTTAAATATCACAATAACTGGCTTCCAAAACGTGGGGCTTGAAAATATCGCAGCTTTACATTTGAAGGAAAGGAAAAAGATCTGGAATAAGTACAGGTGATCCAGAGATAAAAACATATAACATTGAGGGAATTTGAATTTGAAAGTATTTTGACAATTTTTTCCAGTGGATAAAAATTTGATTTATTGATTGATCGTAGTTAGTTGATATTTACTGCTATTGAATTATTTGATTTTATTTTCTTTACCAATCGGACATTTGATATTTATTTTGAATTATTTGAATTTTACTGATTGCATCATTGATATTTGTCGTGAAAATTTATTACAATTGGAGAGAAATATTTGTCGTGTTCTGCAACATATAGAGTGTTGTAAAATTTCACATTTGGCGGGGACAAAAACAGTAACGAAAATAAACATGTCGACCACAAGGAGTCAAAGCAAAATGCAAGAAAGGAAGGAGGATAACAGAGAAGAGGAAACAATTGTTGAAGAAGGATCGGATAACGAAGGAAATGTTACAATAATTAGGGAGAGAAATGAATCATCAGAAATAGATAAAATATTACAACTAATGCAACTCCATTACGAGAGAATGGATAAAATCCACAAAGAAACGTTACGAAAAATGGATGAATTTTCACAAACAATAAATGAAACATCAAAGAAAATGGATAAAAACCAAGAAAAGACAAAACAAACAATAAATGAAACAGCAGCGAAAAACGAAAAAGAAACATCACTAAAAATGGAAGAAAACCAACGGGAAACAAGACAAGCAATAGAACAGAAACTAGAAGAAAATGATAGGAAAATGGAAAAGCGTTTGGACAAATATGAAAATGAAGAAAAAGTTAGAGAAGAAACAGAGAGGAAACTAGAGATGCAGAGAGAAGAAATAGAAACTAAAATGAAAAATAATAAGACTGTCCAGAAAAAGGAATTAGAAAAATTAGAAACAAAATTTGAAAACGCGTTACAAGAAGACATGCGAGAAATAGAAAGAAAAATGGAGGAAATCAAGAAGGAACAAAATTCCGGGGAAAAAAGGGAAATGTTTACCTATGAAACAAGCAAGGCGAAAATACAATTTGGCGGGGATATTAGAAAAACACACCCAGTACTGTTTGTTAAAAATTTGAAAACCAAATTGCAACATGTGAGATATGTTGACGATTGCAAAGAAACTATTAGAAACAATTTTTTAACTAGCTTTTCCAGTTTTATAAATACTTTAATAGGAATTGTGAGAAAATTATTGAGAAAATTTAAAATCCATATTTAAAATTTAAACACCCGAAACTAAGAATAATTATTTAAGCCATGTTGGGCCAGAATCATCAAATTTTAAGATTTAGAACCTACAACTCAGAGATTGGATATTATTAATTAATTACCCTGTATCGGGCCGATTTTAAGGGTCTGTATGATACGAGTTTATGCATTTACGAGTTACTTATCATTATGATTTTCTGTACATTCCTACATTTTTATTTTTATAGATCTTCTTCTTCCCATATGTCAATTTTCTCCTTTTCACCCAGCACTATCTGGTTATCCTGATTAACTATGGTAGTTGGTCTTCGTTTTCTGTATATCCTTAAGCTTTTTATGTAAGTTACGGTCGTCGTGTTATCGTTGTAAATGTTCTAGATCGGTACATTGTTGCTTAGGCCATTCATTTTTTGCTGTTCTTATTTTTGCTTTTATTTGCCTGTTAATGTTTTCATACATATTGCTGCCATCTTGGTTATTCTTGTGTCTTCGTCGTTCTTCCATTAGTAATAGTATTTCTTCTGTCATCCATTTTTGCCTCTTGTTATTTCGTTTGTACCCTAAGTTGTTTTTCGTGATGTCTGTTACAGCACTTGTAATCGTATTCCATGTTGGTGTTAGATTTTTATAGATACCTGGTTTAAAATCTTATTTTTGTGATTTACTGTGATTTACATTACGATACAATTTTTTTTGTTATTTCTACTTGCCTGTAGATATTAATGTTCTTCATCGTTTCTAACACTTTTTTTGTAATTTGTGAAAACCACAAAAAAATATTAGGACGACAAAAAATGTAAACCCTAAAGTTATAGATGACGTAAAGTTATCAATCATCCTTATACCCTCTATCGATAAAAGCTGAACTTAATGTAAACGTCTTAATATGTCTCCAGAGTGCCCTAGGACCTTAACTTAATGTTTTCTTGTTTCAGTGCCCCGTGGCAGGCTACCCCATCGAAACAATAACGTGGGAACGTGAGGGTCAAATTCTTCCTATCAATCGACGTCAAAGGGTTTACGCCAACGGCACTCTTGTGATTGAGCAGACCCAGAGGAGAGAGGACGCTGGCACGTACACTTGTCAAGCTCAAAACAGGCAAAGGAACACGGCGAGGAGGGACGTCGAGATTCAGGTCATAGGTAAATATATCACAAGTTATATATAAAATACTGGGAACTATCAGTTTCAAAATTACCTTTCCAAAACAAAATTGATTTTTTTTTATTTCGAAACATCCTTTTATTATATGAAATTAAATATGTGTTACTTTGAAAGGAATTGAATTTATTATTTCTGCAAATACTGCCTATACAATATGCTATGCAATAGTGCCTGTAATGCGAATAAAGTTTTTCTTCTACTAGTAAAACTTTGATTTTAGTAAAAATCCTTTCTGAATTTTGCAAACTTTTCTTAGCATATTTACGACATAGTTTCACGTCTTTTGGACAGTTTGATATATTGAAATGATTTCAATATGTTAAAAAGGATACAATTTAAATGGATTTTTATATGAGTTTGTTGTTCATGAATTTCATGAAGCCATCACAATGTGGGGTCGACTCTGAAATAAAAGGGAGAAAAAGATTAGTAAATTGTTAAATAAATTAATTTTGACTTACCTGGTATAGTGTTAATAATTTCTGAATAGTATAGTTGCCTAGTGTATAGGAGAATCGTCTAAACCTTAAAAAGAAAAAAAAGAAGAAGAATTTTTAAAAAATATTTAAACATAGAAATTTAAAAAAATAAATAAAGGAAATTTATTTAAAGTGTCAAGCAAGTCTGTGGGAGCTAAATTAATAGGGGTTTTGTTAAATAAGAAATTACAATGATGTGGAGATGAAAAGAATAAATTGTATTAATAGAATAAGTTTTATATCTGAACATTTTTTTTATATTCCCAAATTAGATGTGATTAAAGTGATTATGAGAAATTAATGTGGCTTGACAAATGTGTCAGAACAGGACAGTTTTATGGTTTAAATAAATTTTAAATAGAAGACGAAAAAAAGAAAAAAGAACGTTGGTTGCGGTTAGCAAAGGAGAAGATATTTTTGGAGATGCCGACGCTAATTTTAGCTCTCTTGCCCCGAAACTGTGGAATAGGCCGGGAGTGTTTTCTAACTCGTCTGATTAAAATTTAGTTTTTCCACAGTTTCCAGTGTTTTGGAAGAGCAGAGATATCCAGAATTTATTCCAGAGAGTAAGAGAAACAATTTGAGTTATAAATTATTATTGGAGTACAGAAATTTCATTGAGATTGAGAAAATTAAAATTCATGAATTAACAGAATTGCGATAGGCCTTATAAATTGAAAAATATTAATGATCATTAAATTAAAACTAGAGTAGTACGTACCTTAAACTCCGAAGAGAGGATTGATATTCCAGTTTCACCGATTATTTTGCGAGAAGTTAGTTTTCTTTAAAGAAATCAGAACTGTTTTAAAGTGAGGTTGGATAATAATTTAGGGGATCATTTGTAATTTTGATTATATTTGAATGCAAGTTGAAAGTCAGCGGAATAAAGTGTTCAGTTTCTTTTTCTTTATAGTTCATTTAAACACTTTATAAAGTTGCAATATTTATTTAGATTTCAGGTACTTGTAGAAAGTCTCCACATTTTGTAATCGATTTTTATTGTCACGACACTAAACCATATTAAGGTTTACACGATTCCTATTTTTGTAAATTTTTAAAGGCAACCCAAGTTGCAAACGAATTTTATTGTTGAAAATAAATTTGTTCAATATTAATAAATAACGTGCTTCATTTGGGTTAATTTATCAAAAGTCTAAAGTAAATTTTGGTTTAATTTCTGTTTGAACTCTACCAGGAGACTACAGAGTCGACGTCACACAGTGACAGATTGCTAAGAACACATAATTGAGCTAGCCGAGGTATATTAAATTAAACAACGAACCACATACTTTAAAAAATACTACATTTATTATCAATAAAAATAAAATTAATAAAACATAACCTTATCAATATATTACTGGTATTTTTTTTCAAATAAAATGGTATACCGAACAATTACCGGTATAAGTTAGTAGACAACTTAGGGTGGAGTCAATAACAATAAAACGAAAAACCACCTCAATATAATCCCTAGTAAAGTCATCATATATGTTGCTCAGGATAGAGACCGATGGAAGGAGTTGGAAGAGGCCTATGACCAAACATGGACGACAGAAGGCTAAGAAGAAGAAGAAGAAAGTCATCATTACTCAATGATTACTCGGACCAGTAATGCACTTAAGAGACAACCATATGGAATAAAAATCAACGGTGAACTACTTAATGTGATTAAACATGCAGACGATACAGTAACTATGTCAGATAATATTGAATGCTTTGAGAAAATCGGCATCAAAATAAAACTCAAACAAAACCAAATTTTTAGTGTTTAGTCGTGACCCACATCCCGATGCAAGGCTTTAATTAAACGGAGTCTAAGTTGAGAAAGTTCATTAAATGACATATTTGAGAACTATGATAACGGACCAACTAGATCCAGACATAGAAATAAAATGTAGAATAGCAATGACTAAAACTACTTTTATGAAAATGAAGTCATTTCTTTACAATAATCATCTCAGTCTAGAAGTAAGACAAAGAATAATTAAGTGCTATGTTTGGTCCGTACTTTTGTATAGTGCAGAAGTGTGGACGCTAAAAGTATCGATCATGAATAAAGCTTTGGAAATGGGGGTTCACAGACGAAATGCTGAAGTTACCTTGGACAGCAAGGAAAACTAATGAAGAAGTACTAAGGAACGTCAACAAAGATAGAGAACTGCTAAAGACTGTTAAACATCTAAAAATATCTTATCTGGGACATATAGTAAGGGAAAGTCGATATAAAATATTATAACTGATCCTTAAATGCAAAATAGAGGGCCGTAGAGGTGTAGGAAGGAAACAGATTTCTTGGTTAAGGAACATTCGTGAATGGATTCGGATATCAAATGCGGGACAATTATTCCATATTGCAGAAGATCAAGAAGTCTTCACAATGGTGATCGCCAACGTAGTATAATTCTGATATGGTACGTAAAGAAGAAGAAAGTCACAGAAAAGTCACAGTGCACGCAGATTTTCAAATAACTTAAAAACATCTCTAAAAACCCAAAGACAAAATTTTGAAGCAAACGTTATTAAAAGTGGTAACATTAAAAAAGTCTATAAATACATACGTTCCTCCATGACATCTAAAGTTTCCATTCCGCTACTTCAAAAATCCAACCAGACTCTATGCTCTTCTGACAAAGAATCTTCCGAAACTCTCTCTTTAGCATTTTCACAGGTTTTTACTAAATAATTAAATGATGGTTATCTACCTGCTGTTAACTGTAATCGTGTCGGCGCATCCTTACAGCAAGTTGAATTCACAGTGGATCAAGTCGAACAACACTTAATTAAACTTCGCACGGCCGCTTCACCTGGTTTAGATGGTTTAACATCAAAACTGTTAAAAAGGTGCGCAGACACGCTTGCAATACCCTTAACGTTAATTATGCAAACCTCTTTCATCCAAAACTCCTTACCCCCTAGTTGGAAATTAGCTTCCGTTACCCCTATTTTTAAAAAAAGCAACAAACTCGACCCCAGTAATTATCGTCCGATTAGCTTGCTGCCAGTAGTTGCCAAAGTTATGGAAGCCATTATTTCCGAGGAGATGACCAAATTCCTTCTCCAGGAACATGTTATTCCAACACAACAACATGGATTTGTCTCTGGTCGCTCTACTCTAACCAATCTCCTACATTGTGTTAACGACTGGACCTTATCGCAGCCGGTCGACGTTGTTTATCTAGATTTTTCTAAAGCCTTTGACCGTGCACCTAAGCGCAGATTTCTACATAAGCTAGAACATTTCGGAGTTCGCGGTACTTTACTTCGTTGGATAGATGATTTCCTGACAGATCGATATTACAAAGTTAGAGTTGGCGAATCTTTCTCACAGGACAGGCTAGTGGAAAGTGGAGTGCCTCAGGGTTCTGTCCTTGGACCTCTGCTTTTTACGGTTTACACCAGCGATATTCCTTATTATGTCTTAAGTAAAATATCGTTTTACGCTGACGACACAAAAATATATGCCACTCCAAACACAAACCAGCTAACCCTTCAAATGGACTTGGACTCTATTTTAACTTGGTGTTCCCAGTGGTTACTACCCCTAAAAGCGAAAAAATGTGTAGTGCTTCGAATTGGCAAAAATAACCCACTTGATCATCGTGAACAGCAGCCTAACCCATACTTGAATGCGCTGGACCAACGTGGTATCCCGATCTGGTTCGAGACAAGACTCTGTTGGAAAACGTTCAAAGAAAAGCCACTCGAATTTCTTTGGGACCGAGAAGACCATCTTATGCAGAAAGACTTAGTATGGCTAACCTAACTAATTTTAAACTTCGCCGACAACGTGGAGACTTAATTACAACATTCAAAATACTAAATTTCAATTTTGGAAACCTCGATGAAATATTTATCATAAATCAAGATGAACGGCTCAGAGGTCATCAATATAAATTAAAGAAAGAAAATTTTTCTATAAGACAAAGACGTCACCATAAGAGGTCACCAATTTAAACTTAAAAAAGAGAACTTTTTTACAAGATTAAGACAGAACTTTCTTCCAAATAGAGTTTTTAAGTGCTGGAATAACCTTAACGATAACATTGTCTCCGCTTCCTCTACCAACTCGTTCAAAAACAGACTTGACAGTTTTATATTATGGTTAAAATATTGTTTTTCTTTTAAACCAAAAATTGTAATTTTATTTCTTTTATTTGTAATTTTTGTTATTTACTAGTAGGTGATTAATGAAATTTCTTTGTTTTTGGGCATAATAGGGACTTAGTTCCTCTGCCCTCGCTTATATTATAATAATATTAATAATAAAGTCATTATGGCATCGATTAGTGAAACAAATAATATTACTGATCAGATCAAACATTACAATAAAATGGTATTTTTGTCAACTGATAGGGCCTTAGCTACGGTCGGCAAAGAAAGGGAGCTTGTAAAGCAAATCACAAAAAAGAATACTGGGCTACGATTTAATCAATGCATAATTCACCAGGCTACGGAACTAAAGATCTGGCAGGAGAAGCAATACGCAATTAAACCAT